CTCGGCTAACGTCGGTGGAAAAGAATAAGTTTCGGTGAAAAGCGCGCGCAAAAAAAAGATATCGAAGATAAAGAATGACGTATTTAAAACGAATCTCTCCCTCCTTTTTATAATCCATTCTTTTTTATTCCTCGTAAACTTATTTTGCGTTCAATCCTACTCCGCCTGTGGAATTCTTTCGTTTCGTTATTCCGTTCGTAATAATTAATGAGAAAAAAGGAATTACGAATTATTCATAAAGAAGTCATCTTAACTTTTTCGCTACTTTAAAATTGTTCGATGCACAATTTCTTCGAATCGAGAGAAAAGAGTTTCAACAAACATATCCGAAAATAATTCCTTGTTTATACAGGATGGCTCCGGATTAAACTGCATCAGTATGTTCTACGAGTGAAGAATAATAAAAGAATGTTATACAAACATAGATTTGCTTCCAAGAAGAAAGAAGAAATTTATGTTTCCATTTCAAAGTGCTGTCTTCTATTATGAATGCAAATTGACGACATTTTAGGAAAATTGAATTTATCACTCTTCGAATATTCATTTTTATCTTGCTCTTCAATTCAACGAAGGCACTAATTAATTAATCATTTCTATTAGCTCTTTTTGCGAATTGACGTTTGAACGATTCACGATCGCTTTTCATAATATTTCCCCATAGTGATAAAAAAGAAAATAAAAAATAAAAAATCTAGCGGTGCAAGATCTGACCATTTCCATCTTTCGTGAAAATATTCGTGAACGAATTCGAGCTCGCTACTTGACTAATTAAATTTCATATTTTTATTATATTTTTATTTATTTTTTATATAAAGCATTTTCGCGAACCTATATTTATTTAATATTCTTCTTTCATTTTTTATTTTCGTAGAACATACTGCAGTTTGATTGTTTAATCCGGGAACACCCTATATATTAAAAAAAAAAAAAAAAAAAATCTCTAAATTATGGAACAACAACGAGAGAATAGATAGATAGATAGATAGATAGACCTCTTTCTCCTTCTCCACGAAGTGGGAGGAGAATCATGTTTCGCGCTTTTCTCGTAAATTTTTTTATCGACACTGTCCGCTCAACCATCGTTACAATAAAACGTTAATAGTTTTCAAGACGTTGGAACCGAGGGGCTGAGTTACGATGGCTTCCATAAAGAAGGAGGGGAGGGGATCTTGGACCTCGAGAAATACGCGTTGCGTGAGAAAAAGGAATGGAAATCGGATGGGTAATAAACGGATGGTCGTAAATTAAAAGGATTTAACGCGATGAAATCTGAATTTTATTCCCGGATGACGTGGAAAGGGCGAGGTTCTCGTGGTGGACAGAAGTCGGGAATTGAAACGATCCTTCCTATTGTGCCGTTTAGAATTTCGTTGTTTAAAGGTGGCCCATTGTCATCCTGTGCGCGGTGTCTGAAACAGCATCGAAAGCAAAGAAAGCGAAAGAGGGGAACTTTGCCGTGCACCCACCATAAACTAATTGCCACGGGGAAACGGGTTCTGTTTTGTCAAGTTGTTTTGTCATGTCTCTCGCATGGAAAATAATTAATTCCATTAATAGTAAAATTTTATTATATAATTATGCGCTTAAATATTATTAATTTAGAAATTGAATGATATTTTTTCCATAGAGTTAATGGCAATGCTTAAATTCTATATACAAATTTATATCGAATTTATATGAATTTGATGTTTCGAGAAATTTATATATTCAACATGCCAATGCTTTCCTTCGAATATGATATTTCAAAAATATATATCGACTATTCTAAACGAAATAATTTCTTCGTGGATATGAAATTTTTGGAAAAAAGCGCGTTTTTTTATCAAATGTAATTTACCGTATATTTAATAAATTTTTATACAAGCTTCTCTAGCAAAAACACTTTCTTGAATAAACGAATTTGATGCTTCGAGAAATATGTTCTACGTGAAATCGGCTATTCCTATCGGAACGATGTTTTTTTCAAGTACGAGTACGAACAGGGACCTAATTTACCGACAAAAGTTTAAACGATGGAAAAAATGGATGAATCATAACTAACAAAGTGGACAAAGCATATCCAATTACGAGCCGATACTAAATTCTCCGGAAGTCTCGATTCTCGAGAGAATTATCGACCAGCTGTATTTCCTTCCCGGACGGCAAATAATCCAAAGCGCAACAAATAATTGCTCGGCAAATAGGAAAGTTGAAGCGGTCTCCTCGGTCCAATTAGTCATCTTCTCGCTTTCGAGCAGTCAATTAACTTGGAGAAATTCCTTCAACTTTTATTTTTTTCGTTTTTCTCATCTGTTTCGAATCGATCGATATCAACGCCCCCCCTCGAATTCCGCTTTGAAGCGCGAATCCAGACCTCGCGAATTAAATATCGTTCAAATATAATTTAAACTCGATGCGATGTAAAGTAATAAAAAAATGCTCGAAACATTACCGTATATTCTTCTAGATCGCTATTATTTCATTAATTTTCAGATTTATTAGCCGTGAAATGACAATTTATCATTCGCAAAGTAACCTAATTATATAAATTTTAAGTATTTTTATTTGCCATGTTTGTGATCCTTTTTCACCGTAGATAGAAAACAAAACAAGAAAAACGATACGTTTGATACGTTTGTAATTATATTCGAATTTCCATCTGTTTACCTTGATTCCTTTCATCGTTCGACGTAATAAAGCAGTTTGATTGAGGGCAACCCTGCTAATTATTACTTGGTTCGTCAAACCAAAGGAAATTCAATATCATCGATCTCAACACAGTTGTGCGATACTCGATCGATAACAGCTCACGCCAATTCTAATCGACAGCTCGACGCTTTTTCGCTCGTTAACCATTCTCTCTCGAAAGAAGGAGAGGAAAAAAGATGGAGGAAAAAAATGACGAAACTTCTCCTTTGGCAAACACTTCTCTTTCCTAATGTTAATAAAAAAAAAAAAAAAGAAAAAAAAATTAAAAAGTAAATTTAAAAAATGGTTAAAGAACTGAAAAATCCATTGGACGTTGCAGGCATAATCGCAGGGGGCGGTGGCGGAGGGAGAGATCGGTACAGCGGTGGTTCCGCTTCCGCTCTGAGCTGCGGTGGCGAGAAGATTCGAGAGGATAGGCAGGGAAGAATGGTGGACGGGAAGACGAGAATCAGGAGAGAGAGGGAAGAGGACACGAAGAGCGCGGACAACGTGTCGAGAGGCGCCCCCTCGAGGCAGAGTTTGTTGGAGCTGGTCAGCAGTAAATGCATGAGCCGCCACACGCCCACGCATCATTACTATCATCAGCAACAGCAGGTACCGTACCTGATCATACTTTGCTTCCAGGTTTATCCAGCTAAGGATGTTTCGCCAGTTATGCATCGATGGATAGGCTCGATACTAATTACGTTATTGTGACGATGGGATTAACCTCGATTCGCGTTTCGGTCAACTGTAATTAATCCGATAATCGTGCGGCTTTTCATCGGGCTCGACCGGCTGGACTGTTCAATCCAAAATTATCTCTTCGTATATTCTCTCTCTCTCTCTATATATATATATATAGATTTCCTTATATTTTCTTATTTTATTGCCTGGATAATAGGAAAGAAAAGAAACAATTTTTTTTGAAACAAAAAAGAATAAATTGAAAATAAGTGTCCCTGTGTATTTTTTAATTGAATAAATCTAATCTACTGTTCACTGGTGGAAAGAAATCTCACGGAACAAACTCTGATTGGAAAGAAACGCATTTTTCTTTCTACTGTAATATATGTCACATATACTAATTCAGAACAACAATCTATATCTAAACTTCGATGGGTAGCATAGTATTCATCCAAAGTATTCTAACGTATCCATATAATATAAAAATAGGAAATATAAAAAATTTATATAATATAAAAAATTTTTTTATTTCTCATCAATATGCATAAGCTAATTACAATTTATAACGATAGTTTAATTTATAAATGTAATTTCATATTTGAATATACGAATAAACTAGACATATTATAGATAGTTTCAAAAATATTTGTCTTGAATAATTTTAACTTTATAAATAAAAATAATTTTTAAATATTTATATTATAGCTCTTCTATTATGTAGCATGTGATGTCAAAATAGTCAAAAAAACGTTTGAAGAACTTCTCTTATCTCTGTGCGGTTTTGCCATACTTTTTTTCAGCAGCGAATAATATCGTTCATTGGTGGAAAGAAATCTCGCGGAACGAACGCGAATCTCATTGGTTAACGTGGAAAGAAACGCCTATTTTCACACGTATTTTTGTTTCTACCATGGTATTTGTCATCACATATACTAATCCAAAACGATGATCTATATTTAAACCTCGATGCATTAACGTATAAGCATAACGTGTAAGTATCCAGAGAATTCTAACATATGGATATAATATAAAAGTTT